GCAATTATTTTCAAAATAACTGTTGTAGTATAACCAGCAGGAGAGCAGTGATGTGTGATCTGAATTTGGAGAAAGTACAGTTTGTTACAGTGAAGTTATTGACTATTTTGTCCAATAACAGTGAATTTATTAAATATTTTAAAAAATCATGAAAATCATTCAAAAGCAATTATTTTCAAAATAACTGTTGTAGTATAACCAGCAGGAGGGCATTGATGTGTGAACTGAATTTGGAGAAAGTACAGTGTGTTACAGTGAAGTTACTGACTATTTTGTCCAATAACAGTGAATTTATTAAATATTTGTAAAAAATCATAAAAATCATTCAAACGCAATTATTTTCAAAATAACTGTTGTAGTATAACCAGCAGGAGAGCAGTGATGTGTTAATTGAATTTGGAGAAAATACAGTGTGTTACAGTGAAGTTACTCACTATTTTGTCCAATAACAGTGAATTTATTAAATATAAAAAAAAATAATAAAAACCCTTCAAAAGCAATTATTTTCAAAATAAGTGTTGTAGTATAACCAGCAGGAGAGCAGTGATGTGTTAATTGAAAATACAGTAAATACAGTGTGTTACAGTGAAGTTACTCACTATTTTGTCCAATAACAGTGAATTTATTAAAAAATAATAAGAAAGTACAGTGTGTTACAGTGAAGTTATTGACTATTTTTCCTTTTTAATAATCATAAAAATCATTCAAAAGCAATTATTGTCAAAATAAGTGTTGTAGAATAACCAGCAGGAGAGCAGTGATATGTGAATTTTATTTGGTTACACTACAGCGTGTTACTGTGAAGTTATTGAGTATTTTATTAGTAACATTTTTCGTGTTTCACACTTTGCAGAAGGTCCCTTCGGACTTGTCTCAGACGCCAGCGCATTGAGATCAATGTATTTTGTATGTAGCGGAGGAAAGCTTGTTTTGAGGAAAACTCGCTTGTAGCTCGTTTTCTACATCACTACGAAAGAAAAGAAGTCAGCACGTGTATGGAGATAGCAGCAATTGTGAATGGAGATATAATTGTTGCTTAATTCCAAATAAATAGATTACGATCCTTAAATAAATGTAAAGAGATTAACAAACATTAAACATATTGACAAATAAAAAGAATGAGATCCACAAATAAATCTTAAAGTTTCACAAACATGAATTAAATTCACAAATAAATAAAATGTGATTTGCAAATAAAAAACATATTCACAAATATATATTTATGTCATAACCACAACTTTGCATGGCATTTATTTGTGAATCGCGTCCTGTGCATTTGCGAATTGTGAACAAATAAATAAAATGTGATTTGCAAATAAAAAACATATTCACAAATATATATTTATGTCATAACCACAACTTTGCATGGCATTTATTTGTGAATCGCGTCCTGTGCATTTGCGAATTGTGAAACATTTCTGGGGTCAAGACGTGCTGACAATCCACAAATACGTGGACTCCACCCACCGTCTACTCAAGCCAATCAGATAACAGTCACATTTCGCTGACCATTTTTCCTGAACATTTGGTGCCTTGTTCAATTGTAGTTTTCCAAAATGAAATGTAATTATTTGAAAAGCAATCAATTAATCGTTCAGATTGGCTCTCCTGGTAATTCTGCAATTCCTCATTGATTGTATAGACCTTACACTGAAACTTGAAGATAATGCATGGCATTGTGTATGTGTTTTGGCAGGAAATCTTTCCCAGACCTCTTTAATGCATACATTATGCATATTTTCATGATGTCAGTTTCACTTCCATATGGTATTTGCTTTGTGCAACCCAATTTGGATATGATTTATTCTGAATATGTTACATTATAACAAACCTCTTTATTTCTACATGTATGTCAAGGTCAAATGCAGAGATGGTATCAGACACAGACACTGCCTTCATGTCTTATTTAGTTATTTCCTGATTTTTGTATGGTTTTAGGTTTATTTTTTTCAGATGCACTTTAGTTTAAGACAGTTCTAATAGTTTAGTCTGGATTATCACTGTATCTCTTCACTGTAATGATTGTTACAATGCTTGATATGTAGCTCTTTTTATGTAGTATTTATTGTATGTACATACTGGAAATTTTATGTATGAAATGAGTAAAGTAAAGTTTGAATGTGAAGTTTGTAATTTTCCTTATGTGCATGATGCTAGATGTTAAAATGCTGGGATATTTATATGCAAATCTCTATATATGTATCAATAAATAGCTGGGTACTGTGCAGATGCTTGGTGTGTGCACATTGTTTTATAAAAACCCTGCATTGGGTTAAAAATGTCATTGATGCCATCATTAATGTAATTTTGAATCAATTAACACAGTAACTAAACAAATCATAAGAGTGGTTTATTTTCAAGGTTGCATGTTAAATTTTCATATATATAAGGCTAAATATTCATATATATATATATATAAAATACCTAAATATAGTAATATTATTTTTTTATTATTATTATGCGGCCTTTATGACCTCATATTGAATTAATATATTGAATAGTTGTACTTGTAACACCTCAAGACTAGTTATAACACACTTTCTCTTAAATTGTCATATCTCTATCAATATCAACATTTCTCGTATAATATAATATAATATAATATAACTTGTCAAGTTTGAAGTGAAGGATATTTATTGGCTGAAATGGCTGCTGGGTCTCCCAAGCTCCGCCCATTTTCCTTAGTAGCATTAGCCATCGCGGCTTACGCCAGTTGATCTGGACCTTTTCTCCTTCAAAATTTCTTTGTTTTTGTCACTGTCATGCTTTTGTGAGAAGGCTGTGAAATGGTTTTGTTAAATAGCAATAGCAATGAGGAACAGGATTTAATGTAAGTGTATTTTTAGCCGGTATCGTTAGCTAATGACCTGATTTGTCTCAGCGCTTTTGTTAGCCGGTAAAGCTCATTCGCCAAATATAAAAAACAAACATCAGACACATCCCTCAAGTCTTCTTTGCGTTCACTGTTTTGCATAATTGAAATAAGTGATGTATCTGTTTAAAACGGTGGTTGCAGCGTAATGAGTGTTAATGTCATTTAAATGGCTGTGTAGCACCTGAGCTAAGTGACAGGTCATTATTTACAGTAAAACAGCTGCAAGGTTATGGTTTAACTAATGAAACGGGAAATAATTGGCATATCTCAATACATAAACTGTATTTCGCTGGTGTATATGCAAGTTATTTAGTCTAAATGTGTGCCATAATGTCTTATTCGTCTTCACTAAACGATTAAAAAATCTAATACAACACAAAACATTCAAGACAAAATAAAAAAAGTGTATATGTTTTTGCAGAGATGAGCTGTGACCTATTTTCATGGCAAAGCATCTGGCCTGTAGCTAGAGCTATAAATAAAGCACACGAGTGGGTTTCAGCTGAAGGAACTGTAGTCTCATTACAACTGATACATTAGGGCAAATTCATTTAAGCATGTGCAGGATCTTTAGCTGTTATGTACAAATGCACTGCTTATAATTTTTGTAATTTAGACCAATATCCCATCAACTACTGTTAGCCACATCCAGAGCTTTTATTTATTTATTTATGAAAGAAAGAACGAACTAACGAACTGGGCAGCGTAGGTTATGGGACGTTTCTGTCATGTTTGTGACTATTGAGTAAACCCTTTGATAGAATGGTTTAGTACAAACGACATATCTGATATCTTTTTGTGTTGCAGCCTTAATGAGCCTCGCTGCTCATCTCTACCCAGCTCTCCTGCAAAACGTGTTTCTCCAGCCAAAAAGAAGCAGTTTTTTATTAACCAGGCCATTCGTAACTCTGACCTCACTCCCAGAGCCAATGGCAAGAAGAGTCTGAGACGACAGGAAAACAGTACGTTTTGCTTTCATTTTTTAAGTCTTCCTTACACTATTCATGTTTATATTTTATTTTTGAAACTACTTTATTCATTATTTACTACACAGGAAATGTTTAACCAAAAATGAGTATTCCGTCATCACCCCCTGTCATTTCAAACCTGTGTGACTAACTTCTGTGCAACACATGAGGAGAAGTTTAGCAGAATGTTCACACTGCTACTTTTTTCCCAATATGATGAAATTAGAGCGTACCAAGCGTCAAATGTGGCCCATTTTATAGTCTATATGACTATTTATGCTTGGAACATCGCACTCGTAGCTTACAATTCTAGCATTAAGGTTCTGAAACATTAGCAATATTTCAGTGAAATATTTCAGGAAGTAAGAGGTCCATTGTAGAGGTCTACACGGAGGACCCGAGACCCGAGGACCCACTGCACGGGCCCGGGTCCAACTTTCAAAATAATAGACGGGTCCGGGTCGGTTCAGTGTAGCACGGGTCTCTTCGGGTTCGGGTACGAATTTTTGGACCCGTGTAGACCTCTAGTCCATTGTCTATAGAGTCAATCCATATGAATACATACGCCGCTACGCTACAGAGTATACGCAAAAGACTTTTTCGCCATGGGTTACCTGAAGATTTTCCTATGGGTTTTTTGATTTATGAGTGAGTTCTGTGGTAAGTATCAATTGATCATATTTAGACATTTTGCTCTGTAATATAAATTATACACACCCATACTGAAAACGCAAATTTTGATGCAATTATGTTTATTAAAAAAACAATAATAACAATCTTTGTTTGTAATAATTTACTACATAAGACAGTTTGGGGTGTGAGTGTTTGCAGTTTATGTTGTACAACAAAACCAAGTATTGTGAAGTCATGTTTTACCACAGGCCCTTATTTTACTAATGAATTGAAAAACCCCAATATAAAAAGCCATAGGAGGGAATCTTGAGGGAATTAGTCTTCGGGTTTTGACATTATGGCTGCAAGTGATGTATGAAGTCATTTTCGAAACAAGCAGCTTTCTTTTGGTCAGCATAGCAAACTTGTACACAATGGAAGCCCTCACACAAAACTCCAGAATATGCAGATTTCTGTTGCAATGAGTAGATTTTGCCCTTGAAATTTTACAGAGCAAATGTTAGTAAATGCAGAGAAAGTGTGACTACACCTTGTTTATAGTTCAATCAGTAGAGCATGGTGCTAGCGGCGCCAACATCATGGGTTCAGTTTGCAGGGAACGCATGAACTGATATAAAAAGTGAATGCAGTGTTGCATTGGATGAAAGAAGAATGCAAACAAAAAAGTCTGGTGATTAAAAAAATAATTTTATTTGTTACAGAGTTCAGAGTAAATGTTTTAGCTATGTTTTTGTAATGTTTTGGAATCATAATTTTTAACAACTGCTTCGGAGTAGCTCGTTTTCTGGACAATCTTTTGGAACGGGACGAGTGCTCTAAAGAGGATGGTGAAGGACATGAAACAGCCTTGCCCACCATCTTCACTGAAGCCTGCACCAATGGAAACTATGTGGAGGTAAAGCAGGTTTCTTTAACTGCTCTGAGTTAGGAGATGTTTTGCCTTTAAATATCTCTCTCATGTCTCTCAGTACTGGAGTGATTTTATGAATCGTTCTGGGGAGGAGCAAGAGCGACTATTGGCTCTGCTGGAGGAGGAGGCCCAGAGGACCCACTCCGACAAGGGCCAAAAAGACCAAAGAGAAGGTCTGACAGTTGAACAACACGCATCTTATGGTGTAAAAGAAAGTCAGAGCTGCCAGCGAGGCATTTATACTTCACATGGTCTTTTGCTTTAGTCCCCTTAACCGATGGATCTAAACTGCACTCAGGCACTCATCTTTTGTTCAGTTTACCTTTTAGTTCTTCAAGATGTTCACTTTTAAATTTAATATAATTTCATCATAATGACATTGAACCCAAAAATGAAAATTCTGACATCATTTACTCACCCTCATGTCATTTCAAACCCATATGACTTTCGTTTATCTTTGGAACACAAATGAAGATCTTTTTAATATTCTCTCATCGTTTTTGTCCATTCTTTCAAAGTCCATGCAACCAAAATCTTCATGCATTAAAATCGTAGAAGTAATCCATATGAATTGAACCATTTAATCCAAGTCTTCTAAAGAGACACAGTCACTTTATATGATGAATTAGGCTTCATATATAATATTGACCAACACACATACATAGAGCACATTATTTATGATTAACCGAAGCTCTGCAGTGCTTGCTTGACACTCGGGAACAAACCTGAAGAAAAAATTGTAAATAAATCATATTTTTATAATAATATGATGTTTGAATGATTTTATATATACCAGATAACTGAAAAATACATTTTAATATTATATATATATAAATAAATAAATGAAATATTATAATATTAAGCTATGTAGTTATTATATTATAGATATACTTATATATAAAACATTATGGTAATGCATGCTCTTGTGGAGGCAATGCACACATGTGCATGTGATCATGTCAGTTTTGGACATGATTATACTTGTATAGACACGTCAAGTACAAAACAGGATAATTTTGTTTGTACAGACATGATAAATGTCCCCATAAGGTTCAAGTGTGTAATAGGCACCAAAACAGAATTTTAGAAAAAATAATTGTTTTCCAAACACTTCAGAAGTGAGGACACTCAACCAAACAGAGCACTGTTTTGCTAGTGCCACAGTATTTGTCTCTGCCAATATCAAAAATTACAAACTTCATCTTTATTAATTCAATGATGGGCAGATTATTTCTTATTATACTTGACATATTAGTGACGGTCATTCTCCTTTTCGTTGCGCAGTAAATCCTGCCTTCAGTGCTCAGGAATGTTTTCAGAGAATTGATCGGCGGCTACGTGCAACGCTGAGACGCAGACAGATTCCCATGGTGACTCTCTTTGTCATTTGCTTGATCTTTATCTTTTGTCTTGTAACAAGTATCCCCCTGTATCACTTTCTCCTGTCCTGTCCTATTCTTTTTTTCTGTCTGATATCTGTTCGTCCATTTCCTCTGTTCAAGGGAGTGTTGGAGGGTCTGGAGTCCGATCTGCTGGGATTCTTCATGGCACGTCCACACTCAATTTACATTACCAAACTCAGCAACAGGTGCACAAACTACCACAGTTAATGCATCGTTCACCTCCACAGACTAATTCAGACCACCACTAACTAGTATACATGCATGCTTGAGATGTTGGTTCAGGAATGGAAAGATATTATAGTGTGAGTGTATGTATAGAATGCCACGTTTTGATTCAGATGTATCTCTGTTTCTTCAGTTATGAGCGACTGCTGCTTCATGCTATCTGCCAGTACATGGATCTGACCTCTGCTAGTGAGTGAACTTATACATTATTCAAACATATGGTTGTTTTCTTATGAGGCTTGGTTTGTTAAGGTTCTTAAGCATTTCAAGTTATTGTCACTTATATACTTTAAACTTGTTGTGGTTTAATTAAAATAAAAATTTATTTATAATTGGCTAGCATACTTTTCTGTCATTGATGTTGCCACTAATACCGTACCAGATTTTTGGAGGAAGACATTACAGAACAAAAATGCTAGCTTTGAGCTTGTCATTGAATTAACAATATTTTCAAATCAGTGTACATGTACAAACTTATGTTGAGTTTGTAGCGTTTTATGTAGAGTTTGACCAGTATGTCCTCAACACACTTGACCTAAGAAATAACTTCATAAGGGTTCAATTTAATCCATATATTGTTTTTATATTGTGGTAAGTCAGTTGAGTTTAACATTTGTGTTTTTATTAAATATTAAATAATATTTCATTCATTTAACTTTTTACTTATTTTTGCTACATTTTTTTTTTTTATCTTTATTTAGCTGCATTTGAAGGCCGAAACACACTGCACCATTTTCGGTTGTCCCAGACGAAAGATTGGCATTGTGAAACAATCGTGGCGATTTCTGTGATCATGGCTCCTAACCGGTGGTCCTGTGTCGTACAGTGAGAGAGGTTCAAAGACGGTCTTGCGACCAAAGATAGCCTACGATACAGCACGATCATCGCACAGTGTGTTTGCTGGTATGATCCACGTTTACTGACCAACCAATAAAAATGCGACATGAAATCAACGCGACATGGCGCTAAAACATAAAACTGCTTACCTCTAGCTCTTATGCCTTCTTTTTTCGACCACTTCCACTTTTTTTCAGCACACATAAAACCTACAACTGCTAAAGTGTGATTTTTCATGCTCTTTTTGTTTACCACTAGCGCATGCTGATGACGTTTTATTCTTCTATAGTAACGTGTGTTGTATCGTATGAGTCTGTCATCATCGTACAGTCTACACACGTCGTAACCAAGTTTATTAGATCCATGTCACAAAGTATGACATGCAATGATCTTATAAGATTGCTAAAATCATGCAGTGTGTCTTGGGCTTTAGCGCAATGACATGCCAATTTCTGTTTAAAGAGACTTTCAAAATTAAAATAATTATAAATATATTAAAAATAAACATTTATATTCTGTCTCTAAGTTACAGTTATACTGTTTTTACATGCCATTTTGACTTTTTAGCATTTTCCACTACAATAATACTTCTGTTGTTATTATAGTTAAAGGGGTCATATGATGCGATTTCAAGTTTTCCTTTCTCTTTGGAGTGTTACAAGCTCTTGGTGCATA